GATGCAAAGTCAGTTGAAAACGACTGAAAATGGCCGAAAACAGCCGACCCGAAGTGAACTGCCGCCGCCGGCGATGGCACCGTCGCTGAAGCACGGCAGAGCCACCGTGCCGAAATTTCTGAAATTGTCCAAGTGAGCCCTGGGACTAATTTTGGGTTGTTTGGGACATTTGTAGGTACTATTAGCGTGTTTAATTTTCGAAGAAAAATTCAAAGAATCCAAAAATCGCCTGTAGGCGAAGTCGAATAGCTTAGCTTTTTGGGTATCAAATCGAGTAAGGATCCCTCACCTTATTCCCTATCATAGAATTAAAGTCTAAATAAATAATAATATGATATTTTGTGTGAATTTAGAAATTGTGCATAATTAATTACAGATTGCCGATGGAGCTAGAACTGAAAATTAGCTACTGTTGTTGTTGATTGTTTTTACAATTTATATGCATGATAATATCTTATTAATTTATTTTATGATTTTGAATGCATGTATGGTTTATTCTATATGTTTACGGCTAAATTGGAAAAAAAAAAATTTAACGGTAAACAATTGTGTGATTAAGTGAATGGATGAAACGACAGGCTTACTGGATATCCTAGGAGATGGTGGATAGACCGGGTACATAGGGAACCCTACCGTGAACGTTGTCTCATGCCAGACAAGATATCGAGACTTGGTAATTTGGCGCTCATACTGGACGGGGTATGGGGACGGCCCGCTTCACCCTCATACCGAATAAGATATTGAGATTTTATAATTTGGTGCTTATACCGGACGGGGTATGGAGACGGGCCGTAATGGAGGATGTTAAAAGAAATGGTTCACGTGTAGCGAAGATATCTCTATGAACCCCCATAAATACCAGCAAACTGGTAAAAAGAGTGACGGTTATTGTTTGATTTATTGATGATGGATATAGAATTATAATATGTGCTATGTTGCTGATTATACATAAAATCATGATCTGTATAATATTATTGTCTGTATAGCTTGTTTTTATAAATTCCACTACGGTAAGTGAAAGGTGAATGATTTTATTATTGATAAATGAATTTGTTAAATTTAGTGCTTTATTAGTGATTTTTTATTTTCTACCAACCTTTATTTCTGTGTCATTGATATAGTGTAATGTTCTTATTAGGCTAGTATAGGTTATTCCTTATTTAATAATTTCATATCAAAATGATCAAGTTCCAGAGCCCGAACCGCAAGAAGATTGCGAGTATATGTTAGTTTTCTTTATTTTTCATTTATTTCCTTATTTCTTGTATTTTTTTTAGACTGAATTCCGCAGTTTCGTTTGATTCTTTAAGTTATTGCGTAGGAAATATAAACTTTGAACATTTTTTACGTTTTTGTACTTAATTTATAATTTATTTCCTTTAAATATTTTCGGGGTCGTTGCAAGAGCTCTGCTTCTTGATAACGTTGAAGAGCCAGAGCACCGAACCTGTGCCCGCGCAGCTAACAAGTTTGGAAAAATAATCTAAAATTTTTTTGACTAAGCATTGAATCACCCAAAGTTTTGGCGAAGGATAAATTGAAAAACAGTAATCTGAAATAAGTTTCGTCGTGAAAGTATATTTCGTCGTTAATTTTCCAGCAGTCTGAACAATAGCAAATAATCTGTCCAATTTTCAATTTTCTTGTAATGATCATTAAAATTAGATCCAATAACTTATAATATAGCAATAGTTTTTACTTTAGCCGCGACTCGTGGTAAAATTGAGATCTCATAATTTTACATCCCGAAAACCAAATTATTATTTTTTTATAAAAAAAAAAGGGAGCAGATTGCGTGGCGGCTCACACCAAGTAATTTGCTTGTGAGGTCTGTCCGGGTCAAGCAGATGATATTTTTAGGTGCGTGTCAACTTCAGAACTGCAAATCGGGCCAAAATGTGATGAACTGACAATGGTATGGGCCAATCTGAGCCCAAACAAAGGCGCAAAGCTGCTTCTGAATCCACATAGTGGGCCTAGAAGATGACACAAAAACGACAAGCTCTAAATTTTATGATTTTTGAAATTTCACCCAATACACACACACATATATATATACTTTTCTACTTCCAGGCTCGGTTGGAAATTCGGAAAACATTAATTTTATGGTACACTCACTCTCCTTGTTCGACTTTACAATGTCTGTCTGAAAATGGAAATTTTTTGTCTACAAATTTAAATGTTGTGATATATAATTCTTATAAAGCATCTGTAGGCTACATTAATTTGAGATGTAGCTGTCTTCTTTCCCTTCCCCACTCCATTATTAATACCCATTTCAAATTATCATTTTTTTTTTTTATCAATCGGTCAATCATATTATTATTTAGTTGAATGATTATTAATTTCATTTTTCTATAAATGGTTATGAAGGTTTTTTTTTTTTTTTGTAATTAAAATATATGTATCGTCTAATTATATAATATATGGATTTATTTAAGAAGAATCGTATATTTTTTGATACACAAGTTAAGTAAAATAAAAATTTAACCCATATGATAACTTAAACGTAGATGTACCGAAATGAATTGGAGTACCCTTTTTTGAAAAGATGAAATTAATATATCTGTATGTATATATTAATATATATTAGAAT